AGTATGATGAATTTGGTCCCTCTATCGTCCACAGAAAGTGCTTCTAAACACGTTTGACTGATTAGTTAATGTTTTGTTAAGACTCAAAGTATCACTTCCATTAGCTGGTTATTGTGATACAATGAAATGTATATCACCAAACATGATCAGAACATTTCACACCAGTCCCAGTTCGTCCATCACGTGACGCGAATCAAGCACCAACCAATTCCGGTCAACAGAAATTACTCAAAATTTGACAGAAGGTAGAGAATTAGATATTTTACTTACATGTGAAATTTCATTTATCTATCTGAAATAGTACTCAAGTTATAGGCTTTTTAAAAATTCAAAGTAGAAAAAGTACCACTTCCGGTTATCGGAAATCGCTCAAAAGTTGATACGGATCTACGATTTTGATAAAATACTTATATATGAAATTTTATCAACCTAGCTGTAACGGTACTTACGTTATCGTGTTTACACACAGACAGACAGACAGAAAAAACAGACACACAGACATACGGACAAAATTATGTTTTTCCGTATCAGTGAGATGTAAAACGTCGAGATTTGTAAAAATCTCGATTTTTTTTTTTGCACGATCACAATACTTTCTCTATACTTCGTATATACGAGAAAGTAAAAACGACATTTTTAATAACAGTATACACTCAACAGATAAGCTCCAAATATAATGGAAAGATTGGAACTATTTAAAATAAACCGGGAGTGATCTCCCCTAAACTTTCTCGAATATTCTTATACAAAGCAACAGGGGATGGGAACTCGGGCTATAGACATGATTTTTAATCCATTTTGAATAAAGTTTTAAAAATAGAATAAAATCTAGTAGACAAAAGAATTGCACACCAAGTGAACGCCAAATAAAAAAGTGCACAATAGTGCGCAATATTATTAGTACTTTAAAAATTTACATTAGTTTTTTGAGAAATCGGAAGTAGCGTAAATTACTACTACCGGTCAACGGAAATTACTCAAAATTTGACAGAAGGTAGAGAATTAGATATTTTACTTACATGTGAAATTTCATTTATCTATCTGAAATAGTACTCAAGTTATAGGCTTTTGAAAAATTCAAAGTAGAAAAAATACCACTTCCGGTTATCAGAAATCGCTCAAAAGTTGATATGGATCTACGATTTTGATAAAATACTTATATATGAAATTTCATCAACCTAGCTGTAACGGTACTCAAGTTATCGTGTTTACACACGGACAGACAGACAGACAGACACACAGACATACGGACAGAATTGCAAAGCCCAGTTTTTACTTTCTCGTATATACGTAGTATAAAGAAAGTATTGTAATCGTGCAAAAAAAAAAATCGAGATTTTTACAAATCTCGACGTTTTACACCTCACTGATACGGAAAAACATAATTTTGCAATCTTGTCCATATGTCTGTGTGTGTGTGTCTGTGTGTCTGTGTTTTGAACTCGAGACTTTTGTTCGAATTTATCAACCATGAACTTTTTGCCGACTCGACCACGCCTCCAACACAATTAAGCGTTACGTGTCAACTGGTTATGCGCCATTGAGGCCATTGACTCCGATTTCAGCCTGCTTTTTCTTTTTTGGATTTGCTTCTATAGCCTCTGTCCAACCAAGAACAAACTACAAGGCAGCAGTTGTTTAATGTTGGAATTGTCTCTCCTAGAAGAGTGGCTGTCCCCAGCTAACGAACCTCATCTGCTCGAGGGTTCGAACTCGAGACTTTTCGGTTTAGCAACCATGAGCTTAACCGACTCGACCACGCCGACCCCTTCTGACTGACTGACTGACTGACTGACTGACTGACTGACTGACTGACTGACTGACTGACTGACTGACTGACTGACTGACTCACTCACTCACTCACTCACTCACTCACTCACTCACTCACTCACTCACTCACTCACTCACTCACTCACTCACTCACTCACTCACTCACTCGATCACTCACTCGATCACTCACTCGATCACTCACTCGATCACTCACTCGATCACTCACTCGATCACTCACTCGATCACTCACTCGATCACTCACTCGATCACTCACTCGATCACTCACTCGATCACTCACTCGATCGATCACTCGATCGATCACTCACTCGATCACTCACTCGATCACTCACTCGATCACTCACTCGATCACTCACTCGATCACTCACTCGATCACTCACTCGATCACTCACTCGATCACTCACTCGATCACTCACTCGATCACTCACTCACTCACTCACTCACTCACTCACTCACTCACTCACTCACTCACTCACTCACTCACTCACTCACTCACTCACTCACTCACTCACTCACTCACTCACTCACTCACTCACTCACTCACTCACTCACTCACTCACTCACTCACTCACTCACTCACTCACTCACTCACTCACTCACTCACTCACTCACTCACTCACTCACTCACTCACTCACTCACTCACTCACTCACTCACTCACTCACTCACTCACTCACTCACTCACTCACTCTCTCTCTCTCTCTCTCTCTCTCTCTCTCTCTCTTTCTCATGTAATCTCGTTTTATAACATAATGTGTATTTTATCTGTTATGTTTTGTGACATTCTTCATACAGTTACGGTTATGCATGTGGTATATAAATATGAATGAAATAAGACAAGCCATATCAAAAATACATAATTAGCTTCACCAAATAGGGTACAACATCACAAGACTAATGTCTGATTGGCATGATACACTACCCTCCGTGTGCCTGCTGATGAACTTGTTTTCACATTTACACCGGCAGCTTGAAGCTTTCTTTACAAGCTTATTTGCTGTGTCAATCAGTTGATGAAGTCGCGCTAACCTCTGTAGATCATATCCAAGTTTTTGCTTTGCTTTTTTCAATAATATTCCCATTTTATAGTCATTTTATCACAGAGGAAGATTACTTTGTTCAAGTTTATTATCGATTTTTCCTAGCGATATTTCATCAGTTTTATGTTACGTATATTTCGATGCGTAAGTAGCTTTAAATTAGCTTAATTTGAGTTAACTGAGATTAGAAAAATTAATGTGATCCTGTTAACAAATCTCTAAGATACAGATAAGTCGTTTGTCGACTAAATCGTGACATAAATATAGGATTTATATTTTATAACATTCTACTGCCGTATGTTCTTATATAACTAGGTTAAGCCATCTCCTTAATTGTGATTTCTGAAATGGAAAAGAAAATACACTTAGGAAAATATATATGCCAATATGTAAGCTCATAATATCAAATTAACTTTTGTTTCATCTGGAAAAATTATAATCCATTAAATTATAATCTTTTACCTTTCAAGCACAAGACACAGGGTAGATGAAGTAGAGTTCATCTACTTCCAATAAGCTCGGCATACAAGGATATAGCGTCGTCACCTTTGTTTCCTCCAGACCCAAATCAGGGATCCAAAACTCGAACTTTCGGCAGTCTAGTGCTCTACTGCTAGGCCACGTCGTCCCTAATACAATAAATACAAACACAGTAAAAAAATTTACTAAACTCCGGTAACATTGGCGTAGCCAGGATCGTCTCAAGGGGGGGGGGGGGGGTTCCAATTTTTACCCGGGGACAAACTTTCGATTTGCACCCCCCCTCAAACTTTCGATTTGCACCCCCCTCAAACTTTCGATTTGCACCCCCCCCTCAAACTTTCGATTTGCACCCACCCCCCTCATACTTTATATATATATACCGAGGGTCTATGGGGGTTATGACCCCGCCTAACCTCCCCCCCCCTGTCTACGCCACTGTCCGGTAAATATTTTAGCATTTATTTGGGAACCGAACAAACATAGGAACTTTGTTTCAAGTGTTAAGTAAAACTATATCGTTAGAGAACTATTTATTAAAGTAAAGATATCTTTCGGGTCCGTCAAACACAGGTCAGATTGATTACTGCTGACTCGTTCCTGTAACCATGACATATCAAAGCTTAGTGTGTGTCAGTGTTGGGTGCAAAAGTTTTTCCTGGCTTTACGCGAGTCAGTATACGTCCTTTAGACTAGAGCCCGGGATCCGAACTCGAGACTATCGTGCATCTACCTTCCAACTTCAACGTCTCTTAACCAGTGCAAACGATCTTATAATAAACTGATTTTTAAAAAGTGGAAGTGTGTTTAGGTTTGCTATCATTTTTTTTACAAAAGAATATACTTAAGAAGCTATAACTGACCTACATTATGTTCCAAGGAACTCTACTATCACGTTTATCTTGACACTAATTCACCGGAAAAGTCTCCACAGCAGCTTTAGAGAGCTCGTTTTATTTTTATTTCCAACGTAGTGGAAAATACATTTTTTTATAAAATTGGAAATTCTTTAAGTTTTTTTAAAACCATTATCTATATGAGGTGTATCGGGTAGTGCCGCTTACGTATTCTTTACCAAATAATGAAGTTCTGCTTACGATATCGATATTCAAAGAAACACACGCAAGCATTAGTAATAACCAAGAAAAGGGGATACGCTATATTTTAAGCAACTACAAGAACAAAATGCGTACTATGATGTTATTATTAATAAATTTCAATGTAGTATATACGCTTACTTTTAGTTAAATACGAAATGTTGATGGCGCAATACATTTGTGATTTTAACGACGAAAAATACGCTCAAAATATTCAAGCAACTCTTGCATTTTAAGTAAAATACATTTTCATCAAGGTTTTGAAATAAAAAATAACGCAGTGCAAAATTAATTAATTAAAGGGAGAAGTGGAAAGAGCTTTTGTTCGGTAATTTTTTACCAATACTTTAGGTACTCGCATAAAACATAAATCCACAAGCCTGCGTGTGTCACAGGTGCGGCACCTAATGGTGTCACCCCGTAAGAAAATATATATATATATATATATATATATATATATATATATATATATATATATATATATATATATATATATATATATATATATACATATATATATATACATATATATATATATATATATATATATATATATATATATATATATATATATATATATCAAAATATTTTAGGCTGTGGAACTCGAAGGTGCAAATGGATTTTCTGAAGCTCTTAAAGGCGGTAAAGTGTCTTGTGATTTTACCAAACACTCTATAGCGATCGGTAGGTTGGGATGTTATTTTAACAGTCATATACAAACTTCTAACATCTTTAGATTATAATACACTGTCAGGTTAAATAAATACATAATATGTTCAAATACAAAGTGTTTTGACAATTACGACAGCACTTTGTGTTACCTACTTGTTAAATTGTCTCATGATACCCAAGCCTTAGTTTATTATTATCGATGAATTGTCTAGACGTTATTGATGAGCTGTCTAGACTCTAGACATTACCGATGAACTGTCTAGACATTATTGATGAACTGTCTAGACATTATCGACGAACTGTCTAGACATTATTGATGAACTGTCTAGACTGTAGACATATTGATTAACTGTCTAGCCATTATTGATTAACTGTCTAGACATTACCGATGAACTGTCTAGACATTATCGATGAACTGTCTAGACATTACCGATGAACTGTCTAGACATTACCGATGAATTGTCTAGTCTAGACATTACTGATTAACTGTCTAGACATTACTGATGAACTGTCTAGACATTATCGATGAACTGTCTAGACATTATCGATGAACTGTGTAGACATTTTTTGTGCAGGTCTTTCATAAGCCCAGCCAGCTAATAACGCTCTAGAAATTGGGAGAAAAGTTATTGACAAAATAGTAAGAGTCAGGTAGGTATACATGCATTAAGTAATCACTTCAAAGATGATCTGGTAACTTCTATACCATAACATATGTAACTGAGTGACATATTCAAATTTTTGATTGTTTATTTGAAATCATACAGTGAAGAGAGTGTCTCTAAGGCGATACTGAAGATGTTGGTGGAGGAAAAGACTGTTGTGGAGGGGGCAGGAGCAGTGGGTGTCGCGGCCGTAATTGAGGGACTCTTGCCTGAGCTAGAAAACAAAAAGTATGTTACCTTTTTTTTGTACAGGGGAAATAATCCAATAAATATGGACTAAAATTTATTTCCCTTTGAAATTTGTATTGGTTTAATATCATTTTTAACATTTTGAAGCCAATACACACTTTAGTGAAAATAATTAAATACAAACTATAAATGTATCATCATGGCGTTGTAAAATAACTAGTGTCTTATCTTTAGGGTTGTCGTTCTACTGACAGGAGGCAACATAGAGTTATCTAACTTGTCAAGGATCATAGAAAGTGGCTAAACCAAGCTGAGTCTTAAATGTTACCGGTGGAGGCTAGTCTCCCATGGACGTCCGCACACGATTGGAAAATTGTAGTTTAGTGTTTGTTACAGAATTAAAAACGTGCTTTTTTCTTTCATTACAACTTGCTCAAATATCTATAACGAGCCGACCCGCGGCATATCATACGCCGCTATTTAGTTGTTTTATTTTCTACTTTTCAGTAATTCATAATTTGTGAATTCGACAGTACCAATGCTGCCACTGAAAATATTTGCTTTAAAACACTATCAGTAGGTCGTTAAGGACGATACTACCCCCACCCTCCTTTCCCCCAACCCCAACCCCTACCCTGCAACCCCCCCCCCCCCGTGAAAGCCTCCCATAAGTTTAAAATCGTTTCAAACTAAATTATCTGCCCCTAATAGCCGTCACTAAACCCGGCTCTACGATTGTAAACATTTAGCGTGAACCACAGCTCACCAGACCATGTAGGCGTGTGGGTAGTAGGGATCGCGCTTACAGCTTGTTTTCTAATGTCTCCAAGAAGAGAATTATATATATATAGATTCACACATTTTTAAATAAGAAATACAATGTTGAATGTGATATACACAACTCTTGCATATAATTGACATAGATTTTTATAAGAAAGACAATGTTCAATGTGATATACACAACACTTGCATATAAATTGAATCTCTTACAAATATAATTATAATGTATGTATTTTACTAGCATGTTTAATTTGTTAAGTTAACTTCACTTACATTTCGATCTGAACTTTAAAAAAAAAAAAATTAAGGGGGGTAGGCACCAGGAAAAAAACACTTCTTAATTAAAACGTTTTATTGATTTATATGTGTATATCTAAATTAGGGCACTTAAAGGAAAATATTTCAGTGCATCAAGGACTTTTGAAAATATGGTTGCCATGGCAACGTCGGCCATCTTGAAAAAAACAACCTTTTCTGGAGTTCTAAAATTTCATAAACTAACATATATATCGGCTATATAACCATTGACCCTTCTTGTACTAACACTAATAGAGTCAGCTGGCTAGTTTGTGTAACAGAAATCACTCTAGAAATATATTTTTTTTAATTTTCAAAATTTGGTGTGGCGAAATTCCATTGAAATTAATGCTAAATTAATGTAAGCAATTATTTTTACTTAACATTCAACGAATCACAAATTGTTAATTTCTACAATGTGCGAATGCTTCTGTAAATGATTGATTTTGAGGGAAATCAGCTTTATAATATTATTTGTAAAATTAAAACTAAAAACTTTATTTTAATGTATACCTTTTACAACAAAAAATAGCATACTACTTATACTTTCTTTTTATGGTTGCTAAACCGAAAAGTCTCGAGTTCGAACCCTCGACAGGCTCGTTAGCTGGGGACAGCCACTCTTCTAGGAGACAACTCCAAAATTAAACAACTGTTGCCTTGTAGTTTGTTCTTGGTTGGACAAAGGCTATGGAAGCAAATCCAAAAAGAAAAGCAGGCTAAAATCAGAGTCAATGGCCTCAATAGCGCATAACCAGTTGACACGTAATCCTTAATTGTGATGGAAGCATGGTCGAGTCGGCAAAGCTCATGGTTGATAAATTCGAAAAAAGTTTCGAGTTCAAACCCTCTGGCAGATAAGTCTCGATTCTCCCAACACTAAAAAGTAAGAACGAAGACGAAGAAGAAGAAGAAGAATATTTATTTAATTTTTTTATTTAATTTTTAATTTTTTTATTTTTTACTAATAAACAGTTTGAAACCAAATGTATGTTAAGGATAAATCAGATTGCCGGTCAGGTTTTTTTTGTTGTTGTAGCAAATAAGAAACTCTGAATATATTAAACTAGCAATCGCAATCTCTGATTAGATCTTGTAAAAAAAGATGAAGATTGCGTGATTCTCAAAGTGACGAAAATCTACAGGATTTTCTCTTTAGCACGTTAAACAAAATTATTGGACGGTTTATAAATGCCATATTGACTGAAGCAACGTGTTAGTTGTTTTTAGAAGAGCGTTATTTATTTATTTTTTAGATTTGAGTAGCCCTGCAAAATTACATTTTTTTTCCTAATTATTTTTCGAGCTGTAGTCTTTGTTTTTGTTTTTGTTACTGATTTTTTTTTAGACGAAGGGAAACAACCAAGTTAATATTTTTGGGAAATGTAATCTAAGCCTAGTTAATTCCTCTGAATATTCAAAATTCAATAATGTTCCTTATTTTTATTCTGGGGAATTTTTTTAGCCATTGGGGAACGAGATTTAATATTTTTTCCCCGCACAAACCTTTCTATGAGCATTTTCAACAAAGCCCAAAGTTTAACGGCGTAGAGAGGAAAGGTATAGTAATGCACAAAGGACATAGCCACCCACACCTACACACTTTCACACACACACTCATCTCTCTCTCTCTCTCTCTCTCTCTCTCTCTCTCGGTATCTCTCACACACACATTTCAATTTTTTAAAAACTTTTAAAAAGAATAGTCATTGTTTTATTAGTTTATTTTTTAAATAAACATATATCCAATGTGAAATGTGCTACTTAAATGTTTTTAAGGATAGGTTTAATTTCAAATGCTTTTATGTAAATTATGATGTCATTGAAGCCTTGGTCTCACCATATTTTTTATTATCCCTACGCATGAATGAGCATTTCAAACCTTATAACCAATCATATACCATAAAGGAGGTGTGAGGGTATCAGAATCTCAAAGAATGCACAACCAACACGATTGAGGCTAGGTATCATAGTATCGTTTATTTCTCTATCTCCCACGCCTCAAGTCCAAAAATCAACCTCTTTGCTTTCACCCCAACCTTCCACTCTCCTCCGCATTCATCCCTGCACACCTCCTTTCCCTCGCTCACAACACAGCCACTGTCACCCGACCAGTCGCTTCCTTTGTACCCTCGTTCACTCCGTACAACAACATACACGTCAACACACCCGGCCTCGCGTCTCACTACATGATACATACACACTCGCAGTGACCCGTTCCACGTATTCACCTTTCATACACATTACATCACCACAGGAGGGATGGCGGGACCTGAAAAACCCACGAAAGTAGCTATGATGGGTACCTGCCTCAAGTTCGAGAAAGAATATAGGTAATTACTGGAGTTCACCCATTTCTAATGGGTACCTGCCTCACGCTAGCGAAAGTTTGCAGGTTATTACAAAGCAACTGGAGTTTGCTCAGCTTCACAATTTACAATTAACTCTCCTTCATCTGGCCAATGGATTGCTAGGTCTAAAGAGGATTCTTTACTTTATATGAATAATAATACCCCCCCCCCCCCCCCTGCCGAAGAGATGCTTGAAAGAAACACTGCTGTAAATCACTAAAAATGTGGATGTTTAACAAAGTGTGATTGTATCCTCCCACAGCTCTTCTACCGTTGCTGCCCTGTTGTTGCTCGCATGCATCACGTTAAGTTTATTTCAATGTGACCTTGACCCTGAGGAGTTGTAGAGCAGACGATCAACAGATACACCGTCACACATGAGCTGTCTTACTATGAAAATGACTATTAGCTATCACATATAACTTTTACATCAACATATAAATGATATAACGACCGATTGTGTAAACTCTGGACTTGAAATGTCAGAGATGAAATCAGTTATAAAATTGCAAGTGGCAACTTAGATGCAATAACTGCACAGAGACTAGAACGATCACCTGACGGGCAACTTCAATTAAATACAGAACGAAGACCATCAATTTACAGGAGGTTTTATAACAAGGCTGCGCATTTTGATCTGGATAAAAACAACTATTTATACTTAGCAATTACAATACAATACTTTTTTATTTTTATACAAAATGTGTATAAAATACAGCAAGCCTTTTACTTTTTGAAAATTATAGTAATAGGTTAATAGTTATAAATATATATTTTATATTTTAGCATATCTTTGATTTATTAATTTTTATAAGTGTAAACTTCATATGTATTTATGAGTAAATATAATGGATCCTTAACTTTGAATTTTGTTTAGTTTGTTCAAGCATTTAGGGAATTTTATGTTATGTTATTTCCCTTGGTCAAGTAAATATTTTTAAAATAATGGGAAGTAATTATATTAATACAGTGAATGAGAGCTCGTTAGTCGTCAGGGTATAATATACCTGGATATCACAGGTCAAGGTAAAAAAATAATCTTTCCACTACGGGCGACACCCAAGCTTAGTTTACCCATATAAGCTAGTGACATACGGAGAAAGAAAACTCTTCATGTGTTCAATGATCGTTGTATCAGCGAAAACGTTCAAGTTATTTTTTTTTTTTAATTCCACGCTCAACACTTTTCCTTAGCTAAGTGGGAAAATAAAATACATAAAAACCAGAGACTAAGGCCGACTTCATAACTAAACTGTTTAGTTTAAACTGTTTAATAAACTAGACAGTTATAGCAAGCTGCTCGTTGCTACCAAACGGATTGGTAAGGGGAGCATTACGTATGTCCCAGAGGCGTAGCGACCCTTCCCGGCGCCCGGGGACAAACTTTTCGATTTGCACCCCCCCTCGAGATTTCGATTTGCATCCACCCCCCCCCCCCCCCCTCAAACTTTCGATTTGCACTCCCTCCTCGAGATTTCGATTTGCACCGCCCCCCTCAAACTTTCGATTTGCACCCCCCTCAACCTTTCAACTTATTTTTCCAACCCATTTTGGCGCCCCCTAAGGTCGGCGCCCGGGGACATATGTGTCCCCCCCCCCTCGCTACGCTACTGGTATGTCCGAAAGACCTTTGCTTGAAAGCCGTTTTCCCGAATTGTCGTTAGCCCGAAATAAAAATATACATTAGATACATTAACAGATATATTTTCCAACCTTAGATGGGCGCCCTCAGGCTTTTTTACTTTTATATATTATTTTACCCATGTAATAAAATAAACAACACTTACACACACACATGCACATGCACATACACACAGAAATTCTTTACAAAAAATATAGTCTGTGATTTAATACGCAATCTGGTAATGTTTCAATGCGCTTGCTGTGTCTTCTTTAGTACTCATTCGAGCAATGTTTAATGTTGTTTCTGTGTTTTAAATTTTCCCTCCTAAACTTTCGGTTTTTTATTTTGTTGCATGTTATTACTAGTTAATGGTTGAATAAAGCTGAGCTGTTTACCCAAAACATAATATTTCTTTAGGG